GTTTTTGTTTGGTTTTTTTATTTCTTTTAATGGCCATCCATAACTTGAAGTTATGGATGGCCATTTCTCTTTTTCAGTGGCAGAAATGATCTTCTATAATTATCAGTTGTCAGTTAAGTAGTTTACTATCGAGCAAAATAATTGAGTATATTGTAACTAACTGGCAGAGGTAACGGATTTTAAGGTGGCACTATGCTGTTAAATAAAGATCAGATAAATTCTCTGCCCTCATCCTATTCTTCGCTTCTCTCAGGTTCACCCTGACTGCCCAGAGCCTTTTCCAGATCAAGCGTCAGCTGGACAAACTGGGGGAGCTGGTGGTGAAGGTGACCTATGAGAGCGACCCAATACCCCTGCAAAAGCCTCAGATGGAAGAGAGAGTGAAATATCTCATCTACCATCTCATCAAGAGGTACCAACACAGCTCAGCAGAAGACCTTTTATTCCTTTAGCATTTGTGAAAGAAATCTGTGTTGCATGTGGGGGTATTTCTATGATTTAAATTTTTTTTAAATGTGGTGACACAGAACTAGAATATTTAATTTGAAATGAATACAAGGGGGCAGGATGTCCTGTGCCCTCATACAGATTACATGAAAATTAACCAGAGCTTGCAAAAGTATAGACATTCTGTACTTAAGTAGAAGTACAGTTAAAAAATACTCCTGTAAAAGTTGAAGTACTGATTCAACTTCTTTACTCAAGTAAACGTTAAAAAGTACTGGCTAAGAAATGTACTCAGCGTTAAAAAGCAAAATTATAGAACCTTAAAAAACATCTCAACACCTATTTTTATGCAAAGTAAAGTGAACCTTGTACTATATTAATATAATAATAAAATAATATCAGCAGGAATACAAACTTTATTTCAGTCTAAATTTTAATTCTAATAAAAGATACTCTTGAAGCAGGTAAATAGAACATGACCAGAGGGAAAAAAGCTCTGTTTTCTGCAGGGTGACTGAAATTACCTGCCGTTCGTCTTCTGTATGGCTAGCTAGATGTTGAAGAACCTTATGCACACCTGCAGTCGTTCCGTTGTGCCAAAAAAACAAACAAAAAAAAAACAAACAAAACACCGGCCCACTTTAACCCTGACTATGGCACATGGTTTTGCCTTTTTCACCTATTTTTATGCAAATTCCCCGGATAATTAATACGTGAACAGGATTGCCTCTCATGTGTTACTGGTTAGGCTCAGATCGGTTTGATGTTTGAAGCCCCTCGGTGATGTGAAATAATAACTCCCCTCAAATGCATCAAACCAAATATAATAAGCCCATTTTCAAAATGTAACAGAAATAGAATAGAAAGTCAAGATATTTGTTTTAAAATGTAGGGAGTAAAAATAAAAGGCTGGAAGAACAAATACTCAAGTAAGGTACAAATAACTAAAAATTCCACTTAAGTACAATAACAAAGTATTTTTACTTCGTTATTTCCCACCTCTGAAATTAGCTGCACAAAAAATTAAACCCTGTTATGAAAAGAAGTATTTAGATGCTTTTAATTTATTAAACAAAACTAAAATTGAAGTAAAAGTGCAATAGTTTGAGTAGCAGAATCTACTTAGAGTATGCTGAATCACAGTTATTGATTCTTTTTTGTGTATATCTCTTTGCTGCTGCAGCTTGAAATGATTTTAATGACCTGTTGACAGCTGCGTAGCTTCATCTATAATAATAAGAGTAGTGATTTAATGTTGGGTCTCATTAGAGAAACTGTCAGAGCCTAACACAAAAACCCCAGTTTTGCCAGGAGTAAGATGGAGGACAATTAATTAATTAGTGACACATTCACTGAGATAAGAAAGAAAGAAATGGTACTAGATACCACTGAAGCTGTTAAGATATTAGCCGAAAGATAACCTATATAATGAAACCAGAGGCGGTCCCAGGATTGAGCCTTGAGGGATGCCACACGGGAGAGGAGGAGATGCAGATGTGTAATAAGCAGTGCAATGGATCCCAGCCCAATTCATTATTGTGCAGAACAACTTTCAGTGCTCTGAAAAATGAAAAACATGACTTCCTCCTCTACTTCAGCTTCTGACAACACATTAGACAATAAACCGAAAGGTGGTAACTACCGGAGGAGGAACACGGCCAGCTGTGGTTTGAATGTTCTCTCTCAAGCTCGGGGTGTTAAAGTGAAATTGTAAATCGAGGTGTGGTTTTTTTTCACAGCTCATTTGTGGTGGAGAAGCAGCCATGTATGCCCACACATCCACAGAAACCCCTCATCATTAAGACTGGAGTACAGTTCACCACCAAAGTCAGGTATGGTGATGTGACATCTTGTTGTATCAGGATTTGTTTCTGCTGTTGGGTTACAGTTTGTTTCAGTTTATTCTGATTTCTTGCAGACTCCTGGTTAAACTTCCAGAAGTGGATTATCAGCTGAAAGTGAAAACAACATTTGACAAGTAAGATGATTCATTTTCTTATTAAATGGACCCCACAGTAAACCTGTCTTCATTGCTTGAATAAAAATAAGGTAAAAATGTTGTGTGCTGTGCTTGTGTGTTTCTGCAGGGACCTCCCCCCGGGCAGAGTGTGAGTACAAACTGTCTAAGCGTGCTGCTACTAAATGTCCGAGAACAGGAAACAGCACCAGATTAAAAGCAACCTAATCTGCTCGCTTCTGTCTTCAAAATTTATTATTCCTGGACTCTAATACAGTAGTTAGGCATGGTTTAGTGAAATAATACTACTTTATCTAATACTGGACCTTAGAACCCCCTCATTTAATTCTCTACATGAAATAACCTGTTTTAGCTTCTTCCTCTTTAAGACAACTTCTGATAGGCTCCCCCTTATAAGCAAAAGGTTTGAATAGCAGGTGGGCGGAGCATCTGTGCCTGAGGTATTCATACAGGGATATCCACTCTGATTTAACATCATACAAATTCAAGACTGGAAAAAAAATGAAATGTCTGTAAGGGGGTAGAAACTTAAAGATTAAAAGGCGAAATCAGCCCTAAAGCTTCCTGTTTTATGGCTTCACTGGTGTGTTATTTGTTTGTCGTTACCAGGTGTAAATATGGTTTGAAAAAGCACTTGGAAACCAAACATGCACCTCGGGGGAACTTTGCCTCTAACTTCCTGTAAAACCAGATGCAGAAAAAACATATTATTGGGTTAAAGTCACCTTAAAAGCTATAGGAGTTCACTGAAAGCAAATGGATTAAAAAAGAAAAGAAAAGTGA